GTGTATTCTATGACAAGCACATTCCATTGTGGATGTACAATACACGAACAAGTAAAGAAGTGCATTCTCCCTACGCTGGTGGGCTAAAAGAGAAACATCTGCTTTGCAAGATGGATGAAAATTATCCACAAGCAAGAAGCCCTATCTCAGTCGCCGAAGGCTGTTAAAAAGAGACACTCTCTTTGCTTGTGGACTGTGATGGTCCTAATCCTTGTTATGGGTTGTAGAAATCTTTTGGAGCTACAAAGTGATCAGACTAGTCTCTCAGCTATAGCAAACAGTGACAATGGCTTCCTTTTCAGCTGTACCCATGAGAACGTTAGCATTTAGCAAAGATGACTGCTTCTAAACCAAGGATTGAAACTGCAATTTAGAGCAGGTAGTCTACAAGACTGTACAGAAAGGGAGCAGTGGCAGTGTAGAAAGGAAGGACAAAAGAGACTAAATTATTAGTCATAAGCAGGGCTCGACAAAGAGATCGTTCTGTGCATGTGCAGATCGCCCAAACCCGGCTCTTCCAGGTTACAGTCTACTCGCCACGGGCGAGTAGATTGTATTATTTGCCGAGCCCTGGTCATAAGAGTTAGGGATTAACAAGACTGGCGTTACAATCATAGAATCAAGAGACTAGAAAGGACCCTGCACTCATGGCTGGACTAACTATGTTATAGACCATTTCTGAGTCTGGGGTTTGTCTAAGTTGCCTTAAAAATCTCCAGTGAAGGAAATTCCATAACCTCCTTAGGCAATATATTCCTGTGCTTAAATAGTCTGACAGACAGTTTCTCCTAAATGTCCAAACTAAACAACGCTTGCTGCAATTTAAGCCCACTGCTTTTTGTCCTAACCTCACAAATTAAGAAGAACAAGTTTTCTCCCTTGCCTTGTAATGCATTATGTACTTGAAAACTGTTACCATCCATGCCCCCCTCCGCACTCTCTTCTCCACACTGAACAAAACCAATTTTTCTTTTCTCATAGTCACATTTTCTAGACCTTTAAACATTTTTGTTGTGACTTTCTGGATTTTCTCCAGTCTCCCTATATCATCTCATGAAATGTGGCATACAGAACTGGACACAATATTCCAGCTGAGGCCAAAGCAAAGTAGAGTAGAGCAAAAGAATTACTTCTCATGTCTTGCTTGCAACAGTCCTGGCAACATATCCCAGAATGATTTTTTCTTTTCTCACAACAACATTACACTGTTGACTTGTATTTTGCTTATGATCCACTATGACCCCCAGGCCCTTTTCTGCAGTACTCCTTCCTAAACCGCCATTTCCCATGTTGTCTGTGTGCAATTGATTGTCCTTCCTAAGTGGAGTACTTTGCATTTGTTCTTATAGAACGTCATCCTATTTACCTTAGACCATTTCTCCAGTTTATCCAGATCATTTTGAATGTCTACCCTATCCTCCAAACCACCTCTCAATCCTCCTTTGCTTGATATCATTCGCAAACTTTGTACGTGTATTTTCTATACCAATATCTAGATCATAGATTAAGATATTGAACAGAACCATGGTTTCCTCTAAAGTGCACACCAGGATGGGTACGCACCAATTTGAGGCCCACCCACCTCCACAACAGGGCTGCGCAGTGGCTACTCAGCTTTTCCGGGGCAGAGCCTCATATGGGGCAGCAGCCACAGCCCAAGAGCTGCTGGCCAGCCACCACACGGCCCTGGCCCGAGCTTCAGCTCTTCCCCAGGGCTGGAGCTTAGGCCAGAGTGGGCTGTATGGCGAGTGGCAGCAGCTGCTCCAGGGGCCAGGGCGCGAGCAGCTGCGTGGCAGGCAGTGATGGCAGTTCAGGCAGCAGGGGCCTGGGTGTCAGCCGCTGTGTGGAGAACAGCAGCTGCATCTTTGGCAGCCTGGATCCGAGTCTAGGGATCGGAGGAAAGAGTACCTGCTGGTGGGACTTCTAGTCTGTAGCAGCCTTTGTTGTAAGTCTTTGTTATTATCTTGGCTCTCAGGACATACAGATTTTTTGGGCTTAACTTGAAGACTGCTTAGCCAGTGTTTAGAACTGCATTAGTTGTCAGTTGTTAAAAGTTGTTATAAAATCATAGAATACTAGGACTGGAAGGGACCTCGAGAGGTCATCGAGTCCAGTCCCCTGTCCCCATGGCAGGATCAAATACTGTCTAGACCATCCCTGATATACATTTATCTAACCTACTCTTAAATATCTCTAGAGATGGGGATTCCACAACCTCCCTGGGCAATTTATTCCACTGTTTGACTACCCTGACAGTTAGGAACTTTTTCCTAATGTCCAACCTAAACCTCCCTTGCTGCAGTTTAAACCCATTGCTTCTTGTTCTATTCTCAGAGGCCAAGGTGAACAAGTTTTCTCCTTCCTTCTTATGACACCCTTTTAGATACCTGAAAACGGCAATCATGTCCCCCTTCAGTCTTCTCTTTTCTAAACTAAACAAACCCAATTCTTTTAGCCTTCCTTCATAGGTCATGTTCTCTAGACCTTTAATCATTCTTGTTGCTCTTCTCTGGACCCTCTCCAATTTTGCCACATCTTTCTTGAAATGCGGTGCCCAGAACTGGACACAATACTCCAACTTAGGCCTAACCAGCACAGAGTAGAGCAGAAGAATGATACCCTTTGTTGGAGAAAGGGGTATCTGCTTCCCCTTGTTTCCAAATCATACCCTCTTCCAACCCACATCCCAACTCAGTTGCTTGTATCTGGTGCCTTAAAGTCTAGTATCAAGCAGTAGTTTTGATTATACAGCTCCTAACTGGACAGAAGAGATGCATAGGGATTTGGAGAGAGAGTAGGACAAAAAAAGTGTGATGGACAGGTGCTGGATTGACCAATCTGAAGTTGTGTATTTATGGACTATGCAGGGCAGACGCAGTGCCAGCTTTGCAAAGGAAGCTGTTCTGAAAAAGGGTGGCCAAGGTTTTCCCAGGGGCCAGGGCCAGTGTCACATCATGGCACATAGCGGGAACCTGGGCTGGGCTGCGTGAAGGGTGGCAGCGGGAGTAGCAGCTTGGGGACTGGGCCTGAGCCACATGGCAGGCAGTTGCCCTGTCACAGGGCTGGCCTTAGGGCTTGGCAAACTGGGCCCATGCCCAGGGCACCATAGCCATAAGGTGAGGGACAACTGGGCATGGATGTTTCTGGGCAAAGGGGGTAGAGGGTACTGAGCAGGGGTGCAATGTGGCAGGATTAGCAGGAAGCACAGGGTGGCGGTTGGGAGCACAGCTGGAAGAAAAGTATAGGGGTTGGGATGAAGGGGGCAATGTGCAGAAGTTAGGGGCAAAGGGGGCACAATGCAGGGTTAGTGATGAAGGGTTCACAGGATAGGTGGGAGTGAGACTGGATGCCAAGATGGGTGGTTTTCAGGGTGGGTGGGTGCAAGGTCTTACACCTTGTTAATTTCCCTTGTTCTAGTATTTTTTTCTTACATAACAATTTAAATTATATAATTTTGTTAGTAAGTGGTGAGTGGCACAGTGGCACATATCTGAATAAGTGCACATGACGTCAATATTTGTGCAACAGACAAAACTCACTCTGCTCACAGATGGAAAATCTTAGAGGGAACACTGAACAGAACCAGGACCAATCTCTACAATACCCCACTCAATATGCTTTTCCATCTTGACTGTGACTCATTCATAACTACTCTCTGGAAAGGATTGTTCAACCAGTTCTGCACCCGTAGTATAGCAACTCCATCTAGGTTGCATTTTCCTAGTTAGTTTTTGAGGTCACATGACGTATCAAAAGCCTTACAAAAGTCAAGATATACCACATCTACAGCTACCCCCATCCATAAAGCTTGTCACCTGGCCAAATATGGTAAATCATAGTTAGGCAAGGCTCACTATTCAAAATGGAATTGCTTGATACTTTATTAGAGTATAAAGTGCCATTGAAGTTACATAACAACTGTAAATTCTTAATCACAATTGTTCCTTGTGTTTTTTACCTTTGGTACAGTACTTAACTCAGAGGTGGGCAAAAGGGCCTCTGTAGGCTGGATCTGGCCCACGGAGGTCCTTCTGCTCCCCTACCCTGCCCCCACATTCCTGTCAGGGTAGGAGGAGACTTTGTGCTCTCCCCTGCCCCCAAGCCCTGATGGGCCAGGGGGCGGGAGAGCATGCAAAGCCTCCTCCTGCCCTGCCAGGAGTGCTCCTCCCCTCCCCCCGTGGTTCCTCGCGGTGGGAGGAGACTTCGTATGCTCCTCCTTCTGCCCCCAGGCCAATCAGGGCCTGGGGCAGGGAGAGTGTGCAAAGTTTCCTCCATTCTGCCCCCGCCCTCCAAGTAGTGTGCGGTGCTTATAAGTGCCATATGCTCCTGGCAGGGCAGGAGGAGACTTCATGCACTCCCCCTCCCACAAGCCCTGATCGACCTGGGAGCAGAAGGGGGAGCAGGCAAAGTCTCCTCCTACCACCAGGGGCATGGGCGCCTAGGGGAAACTTTGGGGTGAGTGGGCGAAGGTGCTCCTCCACTCCCAGACCAATCATGGTCTGTGGGTGAGGAAACATGGAAGTATCCTGAGGAAGTATGGAAGTACCCACTTCAAACATTTCTGAAGTGGCCCTTCACAAAAACCTATTACCCACCCCTGATTTAACTTGTAATATATCCTCACTATTTACTTAAGAGGGGAAATCAATAAAAGGAAACACTCATTTTTCCATTGCTTTAACTTAAATAATGTAGGCAGTGTATCAATATGGAACATACCTGCACAAATTTCTAGGAATGAAAACAAAGGTACATGAATGTGCTGCCAATATTCATTCTGAACTATTGCTTTTAAAAATGAACATGAAAACTTGGCACCATTTGTCTTTTTTTCAGTCCAGATTCATTATCTCATAAATTCAATGATAACTCTTTCCACAATTGATATGCACATTGACAGATCAAATATCTCATGCTGCTTTTCAGTATCATGGAGTTGGCTTCTTTTCTGAAGCACAGAAATTGCCTTCTTAAATGTAGAAGTGATTCAAAATTCTTACCATTGAAGTTTGATGTAAAACAGAAAACATCATATCTGCTTTTAGCCTTATCCCAGAAACCATAATTCCTGACTCCAGGCACTGTGTTCTTTCCTCCGCAGGGTTCCCTGGGTTTGGTGATGGGGTACTGAACTGATCCATCATTCAGCCAACCTGCATTACACCAATCCAGCCCTGATCTCCATGCATCATACAATTGGTCAAAGGAGGCAATAACAGAATCTTGGTCCAGACAAGCTTGTTGAGCCTCATGGAAGTTTAGGTGGTAGCGACCAAACCGTGGAAAATACGGGAATACAACACCTAAATCAAAAAGGGAAAAAGAAGGCTATTAGCTATTTATATGAAAATATGAGCGAGAGAAAGAGAGAGATCGATCATCTACTAGCATCAAAAGGACAAATTTAAGGTTGACCATGGGAAATGCCAAAATAATATCACTTCATCTGGTGGTTTAATTTCTAGATAAATTTCCTGTCAGCAAATCAGCTTCCCTGCCTGATAACTTCACACCCTTTCCTGCTGGAACCTCACCTGCTCTGCTCCCAGCTACAGCTTTTCTACTGACACCAGAACCTCACTTGTGCACATTCTGACAGCATTCTGTTCTGGATACCTTACAACCACATGAAGAACAATCTCAGGTAGCTCAGAGAAGGACAATTACAGTGATTATGGGCCTGGAGGTTCTTAGGAGGAAAATGTCCAAGCAAGCAAGAAAAATCAATGGATTATTTTTAGTGTGTTTAGTTTAAGGGAACATTTAAAAGAATGGTCAGGCATCTCCCCCTCTGCTGCCACACCTTAGAAGGGGATGTGGCGCATACTCTCCTGCAAGGCTAGAGAGCTCTGCTAGGCACTGTGATGTATAAGAGGCACCCCCTTCTCCCTGTTTCCTGTTGGGTGGCTCACTGCCAGGGGCGGACTGGCCCAGCGAGACACCGGGAATTTCCCAGTGGGCCATCCTCCAAAGGGCTGGCTGGCGGCTGCTGGAGGAGGAGGGGGATTGTGATGGGGTGCTGCAGTCCCACACTTTAAATTCCCCGGTGCCATGCACCGGCCATGTATGGGACACAGTGCGGCCGAGGGAGCGCATGCGTGGTGAGCTCAAACGCCATGCAATAGGTGAGAGGGGAGACGCCTGGGTGTGGCGTGACATCATGGCCTGGGACTTTAAAAGTGCTCAGCCCAGAGTTGCACTGCACGGCCCAGCTTGAGGCCCGGCACGTGGTCTGGAGCCCCAGAAGCAGCTGGGGCCCAATCACAGATTCCAGCTCCGCAAACTGGAAGGCAGAAGGTAGGTGGAGAGAGGAGGGAAAAATAGGAGGAAGGGGGGAGGGAGAGG